CATGTCATTTACCACAGTTTAAAGTGCTGGAAAAGCTTTAAAATGCACCTTGAAAGTGCTTGAAAAGTGCTTGAATTTGGAAAAGGTGTAAGAACCCTGTATCATACACCCGGCGCATGTGTTTTTTGCTAGTATCATCACGACACAGTTTTCATTTTCACGTCCTGCACCACCCATGGGCATGCTGGTCTGAAAACAAGGTGTGTTTAGGCGCATTGTTGGCACGTTTTTGAGGCAATTGAAATAGACTGCGCCATTGACCAACTAAAACCTGGTCTAAAGTCAATGGTGCAATTTTTTTTGTTGTTTAAAGAGCGCATTAGTAATATGCGCCTATAGGGAGGTCCACAACACGTGTACACTTTGCTTATTACACACACAGGGCAGCAGCACACAAACATTTTTAAATATGAAAAATTAAAGGATTAAAATGTAAAAGGTTATTATTATTGTGTACATAAATATAAGAATGCCTACATGTCATAATGGATAGCCTTGGAATCCGGCTTGTCCCGTAAATGGTCTTCTCACACTCTTTAACCTCGTGCACAAACAGATCCTTGCAAGTTTCCTTGCTAGAGAAGCATTTTTCTGCTTGCAAATTCTGCCATGTAATTAGCGAATCCACCATGGCGCAAGAGGAACTGGCTTTTAAAGGGAATGGGAGATGAGACTCTGATTGGTTTATTGCACGTTACACCCAAAGCACACCCATTACTCATTAAGAGAATAGGGACAACCCCTTTAGACCATTTTCCTGTCATTAAACTAGCAACAGTAGATTCTGACATGCCCTAAGTGCACCTGTGCTGTGTGCTTTAGACCATACGCTTATATCATTAAAATAGGGCCCTACTAAATGGAGTAATGGCTGCAGAAAATGTAGCTTTGCCATCACTGGAATAAATTGTTTCAAAATATATTAAAATAGAACATTTTAAATTGTAATATTTCACAATATTATTGTTCTTGCTATATTGTTGGTCAAATAAATGCAGCCTTCTTTCAAAAACACGCCGACCCCAAAGTCTTGAATGATAGTGTAAAATAGGGGGAAATTTGGTGCTGTTAAAGGAATTGTTGCAGAGCCGATCCTCCCTATACGCAAAATATGCAAGCTGCGTAGGGCCCCCGAAACACCAGGGGGCCCCCTTGCTCTCAAACATGATTTAATTTTAAGCTTCGTTTTTGAATTTGGCCAGTGGTTATGAAAACATAAATGATTATTTCTTTTAATGCGTTCCACTGTCACCCTTTATAAATAAAAATCAGTCAAATCATGTAATGTGAATGTCGTACAGTCTTGCTCAAGACTAAAAAACGAGTTGAAAGCGTACCGAGCCGCGGAAGAGACACTGTTTCTCAAGCACTTTCCGCGAGCGCAATTCGAGACAGAGTGAAACGCGGACAAATGCATTTCATTTATTCGTTCATAACCACTCATACACCACATACTAAAATTCCATTCAGAATCCAGATGAGGCTTGATCAGAATGGCAAGAGTCACACCCTTCAACACATGTACAGTGCAAAAGTATTATAATTCATGAATGTGCACTGTCAGAATGTAGTCAGTCTTGACATGGATGTGTCATTATGAATGCACAACATATGTTAGACAAAATTCTCCATCTGCTCTATCAGGATGGTAATTGCTCTTTTCATTTTTTTTATATGTGACAGCCAAATGCATTATTCATTAGCTGAATGATAGTCAATACTAGGGCACTGTCAGGAAGGTAGCGAATGGCAGAGATGTCCTCTTTTACCATTTTTTTTTCTTGCTTGAAATTAGTGTCACATGTAATGTGATGTGGCATTTAACTCCCAGTCATCATGACATAAACAAGTTTGTGTGTGTCATGGAGGGCTTTTGCTGTTTTTCTACAGCTACTAGACGTGTGCTTGTGTACTATATAGCAGGAAGCTGAAGTCATTAGTGGCAATAAGCAACTGACTCGTACTCCTACTGTACGCTTACACATGCTTTGATTGTCAAACAGACACACACAGTCGAATTCAGTCTCTCCTTCTGCTAACGTACTGAGAGAGAAAGCTCTTAAAATACAGAAAACAAAAGCAGCATAGATTCTTTATCTCAAGAATGGAAGGCAGCTCCACTCTGATTGTTGGTGATAAAGGGATACTGTATATATGAGGTTTTGCTTATATTGTATAGAACAAACATCCCTACTTTTAAGTCAGCAACACTGTGGGGATCAGCACACACAAAAAATGGCTTATTTAACATACTAAGTACTGTATTAATTCAAACTGGAGGTTAGTATTTTGCTAAATATTTTTTAGGGCTATGAGAGATAAGTTGATAACCGAAGATATTAATTAAAAATATTTACACAACAAAACACAATAAAAATAACACATTGACTGAATGACTTTATTCGTTTCATTTTGTTTTCCAAAGACTGGTCAGAGTTATTTTATTCTGTTCGTCTCTCTTTTCTTGCAGCATATATCTATTCAAGAATACTTTGCATTCTCACCACTGTCACATTCAGCTTATTCACTGGGTTTTGTAAAGCAAAATTATCTGTACAAATTTCTTTGTGCATCTTTCTTGCATAGTATATATTGATCTCTGTACATTTAAAAAATATATTATGGCTGTCACAATATCAGATTTTATCTCTTTTATTATCATGTCCAAGATAATTCACGGTCACACTTTATATTAGGTGGCCTTAAAGGGGTCATATGATACAATTTCAACTTTGGATTGTTACAAGCTGTTCGTAAATAGATAAGATCCCTAAAGTTGCAAAGACTAAAGTCTCAAACCCAAAGAGATATTCTTTATAAAAGTTAAGACTCGTCCACGCCCTCCTAAAACACCTCGTTTAAACACGCCCCCACATGTCTACGTCACTGTGTGGGAAGATTTGCATAACGCCAGTGTAACTTTTATCCTCACTGTAGCCGCCGCCATGTCGTGGAGACGCTGTGTGTTTCGTTGCGAAAGTGAAAATACTTTGTTTGGCCTTCCAAAAGAGGACACAACTAGAAATCAGTGGTTAAGTTGTATTTACAACACTGTTCCAGAACAGTTCAACCCAAATATTCAGATGTGTGCAGTGCATTTAATGGAGGACTGTTTCCTGATCCTGGTAGAGTAGACAACAATGCCGGCTGTTCTGACTCACAGCCTGTAAGTACGTTTTCATATTTAAAGAATTTGCCACTGATGATTCAAACATGAGTTTTGAGCAGTGTAGAGTAGTGCTTGTTGTTTGTCGTTTCTCCAATCACAAATGCAGACAAGGTTTTATGTTTACGAGGCGCGATGCAACGCGTAAAAAGACAGTATAAGTCATTATAATCCGTAATTATGTCCCCACTGGATGAAACAAATGCCTCGTTTATAATGGGTTTTAATGTTTTTGTCTCGTCCACGGCATCACAATATGGTGAGGGGCGTAACATTTCCATCACACGCTTGAGGTATTCGGCCAATCACAATGCACTGGATAGCTGGTCAATCAGAGCACACCTCGCTTTTCAGAACGATTAGCTTTGTAAAATTCAACGTGTTTCAGAAAGGCGGTGCATAGAGGAGGAACAATAATGCACAGTATGTGGAAAATAATGTGTTTTTTTAACAATATGTTTTTTTCATTACACCAAATACACAAAATAATGTTCATTTTAAGCAACGTCATTTGACCCCTTTATCTACTATGTACTTACATTTAAATTAATCATTTGCAATGTACTTATACATTTTTTTTTACAGTTTTTACATTGTACGTACAGTATATAAAATAAAAAAATACCTACATGTAATATTTAATATATTAAAAAATACCTATTACACCAACTAAGACCTTAATGTATCATTTCCCTTTTCAGGGCTAGTAAACTAAGTACAATTTACTCCTCCTACCATGGTGAAATTTGCAGGATGATGGAGGTAAAAGTGGGTGAACAGGTTGGTTGGTGTTATTGCCGCCTTTTATGCTTACTGCTGATTGTCACTTCGTGCAGACTGGGGTGTCTAACAGAATCCAAAAAAAAAAACTCACATTGGCGAACTAACTTTTTTTTCGGGTATGGGTAGAGTGTCTCGCTTTTGTCTGTCATCTGCTCCGAAATGATTTTGTGTGGCAGTATTAGCTACACACTGCGTCATTGTCTCTTTTTTTTCATTTTTTTTTGACAGGTGGCAACCATTGTTATACAGCCATCTACTATGTTAGACTGTCATCCAATGTTTTTGGCACTGGCTTATTTATGATATTATCGTATGTGTAGTATTAGCATGATATCAATATTTCATTCCTTAAACCAGTCAATACCGGCATATTGCGGCACCCATAATATATATATATATTATATTTATCTGTCTCTCTCTCTATATATATATATATATACTGTATATATATACTGTATATGTAGCTGCCTTTATATTTCATCACACCCATGACCTTGACATTGCAAGCATCATGCTTTTCAGTTTGCACTACAGGAATCCGAAAGTGGAAAGTCCCCACCATGATAGAAATATAAACTTGTGTGTGTGTTTGCGTGTAATTCTCTGTTTCCCTGCAGGCTGCCGGTTTGATCTACGTGGCTATTTGGTATGTGGTAGATGCTATGAATGTCAATGTGTATCTCCACTGCTCTTCCTCCAGTTCTTCTCTTTCCACTATTCAGTCTTTATTTTTGAGTTGCTTTTTCTTTTCTTTATTTATTTTATTCATTTCCTCATTTGTTAATATTTCATATTAATAGTAGATACTTTGTGTCAAGCATGCAAGTGGTAAACATGAAGGAATAAAGACTCGGGCACAGGATTCTGACACCAGGACAAATGGCTACACACCAGGCCGCCACACACTTCATTACACATGCTCAAGATCACATGATGTTATCTCCATATGCTGAAGTCTGGAGCATTACGAACCAAATGAAAAGATGCATTAGTATATCATAGACCTCATTTTACCTCCTCACTCACTCTTCCTCTTTCTGTTTTTCCTCAGACGGTGACGGCTCCCAGGACCACCTGTTGCCGGTCTGCATGGATACTGAATGTGAAAGAAGTGCAATTTACCTGGCCAAGCCTGGAGAGAAAGAGGTACACAAGCCCTCCGTTATTACTCTGTCACAGTCTTCCATCCCACCCTTTCATCTGTTTGCATCTGCAGAGTCAGTGAGCTCTCAGAGCTGCTGTGAGGACAGAGATAGGACTGTTTTAAGCATTGTGTCACTGTCACTTCTAAAAGTAATGGTAGATTTGAGAGATGAATCATTTGAATGTGTCATTTCAATTTATATCTTTTTTTAATTGATCAGAAAACCAGTACTTTTACCCAGCACAAAATTTTAAATGGATGTTTGGATTAAATGGATGTTTGATCTTACAATCAGTGGATCCCATGAGCGGCATTCAGGAAATCTTCTTGTATTCAGAGCATATATTTTCCGCTGAATATATGAAGATTCAAATGATGATAATAGATTACAATAAAAGCCTGTAATAATAGTGGCATATAGTTATTTAGAGCTCATTGTGTAAAGGTCTGCTGTGTTCTGGCAACTCATGCTCTTAACTGAATGTCAGCCTCACAGTGGAAGACAGCGGTTATCTCTTTGCCCTCACACACACACACACACACAGTCCGCCTGTCACAGGCCCTGGGACCAGAGAGAAAGGAAACAACGGTGGACGGAGACTTGGAGAGGGCAAGAATGTAAAGGGCAGGGAACACGTGTCAGCTTTTGTCTGCCTGCCACAGACGCTAGTCTTCACCATCAGATATAGTGAAAGGAAATAAAAAAATTTGACTCTTCCATTATTTATCACATTCTCTCTGTCCATTATTGGTCTTTCTTTCTTTTCTTCTCCGTTCTCTCCCCTTCCATTCTTTTTAGAGTTCAGAAAACAACAAGCTACACAGTTTATTCAATGCTGCCAAATAATGTACGAGACTGATACAGACATAGCAGCACACATGGTGTATTGAAAAGAGAAGATACAAGAAAACAAACACTTGACAAAAGATGGAGAATAACAAAAGACAGGCTTGTGTTATAGTCAAGGAACGCAGTCGATGATTTAATTGGCCCAGGGATATCTCTGTTTTTAAGCATGTTTGTGTGGACAGGGGTGTGTGTGTCTGCTAATCACACAATACGCTCTCTCACACATAGTCTGCTAAATAAACTCATTCTCTCTGTTTTCCTTTCCAGCTCATCTGCTTAATATTGACAGTGTAAACATGTAACATCACACTCATTTGAGTGATTAGGGACAGCGATTGTCATCACCCTCACGCACACACACACATTCACACACAATTTTGGCTGGCCGTATAAATGGCCACTTCCAAGTCACTTCTATTGTAATTAAAGTTGGTGTGTGTACATTTTTGAAATTTAAAATTACACGTTTTCTTTAGTTAAGGACAGATTCACTATCAAAACTGGCCATTCTTATGTTTCTGGAATATTGTATTAAAAAATAAAGGTTCCAAAAGGGGGGTTTCACAGCGATGCCGTAGAAGAGCCAGTTTTAGTTCCCCAAAAACCTTTCAGTGAACAGTTCTTAAAAGAACCTTTTTTTGTTAGTGTGAAGAACATTTTAGTAATCTAAAGACGCTTTTTCCACTGTAAAGAACCTTTTGTGGAATGAAAAGGTTCCATGGATGGTAAAGGTTCTTTGTGGAACCATTGATGCCAATAAAGAACCTTTGTATTTAAGAGTGTATATGATCTTCTTCTCATTCAAGAAGCCAATAATGTGCATCACAATAGGTGAAGAAAAGACAATCACTATTTTTATTTCATGCTAACTTTAAACTTTTTTCTCCACCCCCCCTTTGGTTACTGTTGCTAACTCAGACAAGCTTAACAGAATGTCTTATAGGAATAAAATCAGTAAGAGATTTCAGATTTTCGCTAAGATATTTTCATAAAATAGTAAAAATTTGATTATCATTATTATAGTACGTGGGATGGAGTGAATTGGGGTTTTTTTTTTGTTTGTTTTTTTGCCTTTTTTTGTTGTCTGTTACTTTCTGTTACTTTAAATGCTCAAGCTCTTCAAAGACTGGTGGATTCTGATTGGCTGTCAATGTTTTAATCATTCATCAACTGGAAAAAAACAGTATTTAATGTGATTCCAATTATATTATTCCTATTTATTGTTATGGTTACACAGCAGCTGTGGTGTAAACTTCAATACTCTTATAGAATTAGAATTTTTTTTTTTACTTTTATGGTTACAGTTATCGTCTTTGGCGTTTAGCCTAATATTTAGCTACCTTAAAATACTGTTTGCATTGTTAGAATTTTTTTTGTCCATTTTACCTGTCAAAAAAAATCTCATTAGTACATTTTTTTAGGTTTAGCTTCTAGCTCTACAAGCAGTTTTTCAGTCATTTTTGTCCTCAAAATTGTACAGTCAGTCAGACATCTATTTCCCGATGTTCACATTTCGTTCACACCTGTACGCTTTTCACCCTTCCCAAGATTTAAATGATTACCTGAATTGTAGGCATGATTTCCGGGCTCTGAAAGAATGAGAGAGAGGAAGGGCTTTGGGATCACCACAGAATTAAACTATCCCTTAAGCTGCAATGCAGCAAAGCGGCATCCATAAAACATGGCACAAGAAAGAAAGAGAGATGGGGAGGAAATGATGGAGAGCGAAGCAATAGATTGTCTGAGGTGGTGGAAGTGAGCGTCTGTGTACGTGTGTATTGAATTTCAACAGAGTCGTGAGGAAGTGAACAGGAGAAGGAGGGAGGGATGGACGCCTTCATAGGCCGAGCTGCTCTCTCTCTCTCAGCCCGGGGCGTCTCACACTTATTCATTTCATTTTCATGTACTCTGTAATAGCGACTTTGTTTCCAGCTTGGCAGCATCAGCTGAGTGTGTCAGGCCATTTATTTCATTCTTTTTTTCTCTCAGAGGAGTATAAATAATATTTACGCTCACACTCACATCTCACACTCCGAAATCTGCCTGCCCTGTGTGTTTGTCTCTGTCTGGATATTTGCTCATTGTCTCATTGTCTATGTATCTCGTGAGTCTGAAATCACCTAAAGCGTCACAGTCTCTGAGCAGTTTGTTTAACGGTATTGATCCGTGTAAGTGTAGATGTTGCTTTGTATCTGACTGCTTCTCTTTATCATGACATCTCTGAATTATCAGAAGTAAGTGTCCTGTGGGCAAAGCTACTGAGGGCTACATTTCCCAGACTTCCGTGTAGTGACATCTCCTGAGGAGGTTAGATTGGCCATTATCTGCTTAGCCCATACAGTGCACTGAGGCCTTCATTTAGTCTCTCTCTCAGGCAGCTGGTGATTCTGTCATTACTCATGGAGTCTCGTTCCCCTCGTGTCACAGCACCACCTGTTCGGCTTGTATGCTGCCACTCATGAGTTGTTAGTTGACCCACACAGAATCTGAATGGTTTTTAACATTAAACTGATTAAGGGGGAATGTGTGCAGATTTGAATATGGTAAAATGTGCTAATGGGAGCTGAGAGGGCTGCGCACTTATTGGCAGCTGAAAGCATTATCAGAAATTAGCCAAAATATAAGTTTTATCTGATGAGCAGTTCCTCCCAGAAACTCAGCGCACAGAGCTCAACAGAAAACTCCACAGATTTGTGCACAGTTGGATTCTTGTCATTGGCAAAGTTTTAGACAACTAGGCAGTTGCTAAAGTGTTCAGAATGGTTTCTAGGGCTTTGTGTGTTTGTGCCGCAGAATTAAAGGTACAACTGTGGTTAATGGTGCATCGTGCTACATGAAGCATCTGCAGTATACGTGCAATGAAATGTCTGACAGATCTGGATTTCAACCTTGGACATTTTTTGTGAAATGCTAGTTGCATCCTTTCTGTTTAATGTCATCTGAAACAATTCTGAAGAAGTCCTTAGAGCTTTCCTTTGAGGGCACTGCACAGGCCGAGTCATTAGTTCTTTCCTTAAGTGACTCCTGCTAATGTTCTGTGCTTTAACATTCACAACAACTAGTCTGTCAAGGGACAACTTTTTTCATCAATTTCGCCTTTATGTAGTCAGTGAAGGTTTTTTTTTTTTTCGATAAGCTGATCTGGCTCCACTGCAGTAAGATGCCGCGCCTATTTTAGTTTATCAAACCTCATACGCCTCTGAAAGACATTTATGCTATGACCTGTACAGATTAGGGATCTAACGATTCCCATTATAAACAAACCATATGGTTCACCGCCCACATCTCGTGTCTAACCACGTCTGTGAAAAAGCTGTTCTTTGACTTTTGTTAAGCGTAATTATGGTAATTCTCAGTTTTGACAGTTTATCCTGCAGTTATGGCATTGAGACTTCTTCTTTTGAATTTGAGTTATTTGTGATTTGCATTACTTAACTCTGAAGAACGAGTGAAAACATAATCGATACTAATGATTTCTCACTAGAGCAGTGCTGGAACAGTTGAAATATTGAATATATATCCCACTTGTTTTTGAACATTACTCTGGCCCACGAGATACTGAATGTCTGTTGCCAGTGTCACTGTAATCGTTGACAAAGACAGCAAAACTGTTAATTGTATTTATTTGATTGTATATTAAATACCCATTAAGCACATGGCTTAATGCTTTTAAATGGTGAAAGGGCCTTATTGAAAAATAAATATAGGCAATCAATATTAATCATGTAATAATATTTTAAAGGAATTGTTCACTAACAAATGAAAAAGTTATCATTTACATGCCTTCATGTCATTCCAAATCTGTATGAATTTCTTTCTTCTGTGTAACATTTTGAAAGATGTATTTTGTGTTTTTGTCTGTACTATGAAAGTCAGTGGGATTAGTGTTGTTTTGTATGGACAGTTCTGTGCATACAAAACCTTATTTATATTGTTTTTTTGTGGGCCACGGAAGAAAATAAGTCATACAGGTTTGGAACAACATGAAGGAATAAATGATGAAATAATTTTTAATTTTGAGTGAACTATCACTTTAACATACACTACTGTTCAGAAGTTTTGAGTTTTTATATATTAGTCTATTATGTGCATCAAGGCTGCATTTATTTGATCAAAAATACAGTTAAAACAGTGATATTGACAGAGGTGGTC